GAGCAGCCGCTGAGGCCGGGTCCCCGGGTCGCCCCGCGCCAAAGTCACAGCCGGGGCACCGGAGCTACAACCTGCACGAGCGGCGGTGCATCGGCAGCATGACAGCTGCCGAGCAGGACCGCTACCAGAAGATGCCGACAGACGAGTCGGAGGCACAGACACTGGCCTCGGCTGACCTGGACTACATGAAGAGTGAGTGGGCTGTGCACCTCGGGCTGTGCTGGTGGCCAGCCTGTGTCGGGCAAGTGGGTTGGGACAGTGGGTCAGGCCGTGCCTGTGGAGTGGGGCTGGGGATGGTGGGGCTGGCATTGCCTGGGATGGTGGGTTTGGGACAGTGGGGCTGGCAGTACTAGGTTGCCTTGTGGCTGCAGCCAAGCTGGGCTGGGTGCAGGCACTGACTCTGCTCCCAGTGCTGGGCACAACCACAGGGGACCCATCCCTGGTGCTGGGGCTGGGCCAAGTCCCCGTGGAATGTGGCCAGGAGCTGAGCCTGGGGCAGCTGGAGCAGTGACGGCAGTAGCAGTGGTGGTGGATCCCCTGGGCACTCACCAGCCCCAGGGATTCACAGGCCAGGGCTCTCAGGGTGTTGGCTGATGCTTTTGCTGTGGAGCTCCCGGGGGAGCGCAGCCAGAGCAGAGCCCAGGTGCCAGTGAGGATGGGTGGACCTTGGCACATGGGAGCAGGTGACCCCAGTGCCAGGAGCCACCTCAATGCCTGCTTGCCACTGCTGGTGGTGACCAAGTGACCCCCCCAAGGTGCAGCGCTTGCCCCCGCACTGGGATGATCGCTCTGCCCTGAGCTGTCCCAGGCAGGATCCATCCCGCAGCTCCACGGCCGCCCATGCCAGGGCTCACAGAGTTCACAGAATGTCCCCTGTGCTGGGGTTTGAGATGCAGGGCCCTACAGCTTGGCCACCCCCCCATTGCTGACCCCCCTCAGGTCACCGCTTTGAGGATGTGCCGGGCGTGCGCCGGCACCTGGTGCGGAAGAGCGCCAAGGCACAGATGGTCCACGTCAGCAAGGGCCACAAGGAGCCCAGCACGCGGCAGCGCAAGCAGGACCGGCAGCCCCACGAGGTGCGGGGTCCTGGGGCAGGGGATGGGCAGGGATGGGGGGCTCTGGGGTGCTGGCACTGACCTGGAGGTGCTGCAGGTGTTTGTGGAGCTAAATGAGCTGGTGGTGGACAAGAACCAGGAGCTGCAGTGGAAAGAGACGGCGCGCTGGATCAAGTTTGAGGAGGATGTGGAGGAGGAGACGGACCGCTGGGGCAAACCACACGTGGCCTCCCTCTCCTTCCGCAGCCTCCTGGAGCTCCGCAAGACCCTGGCCCACGGTAGGGAGGCGGAGACCACCCTGTGGGGCCCACGGTGAGGTGGGGTCCTGTCCCTCCTGGCCTCAGCACCCCCTCCGTTGTCCAGGGGCCGTGCTCCTGGACCTGGATCAAAGGACGCTGCCGGGGGTGGCTCACCAGGTGGTGGAGCAGATGGTCATCACGGACCAGATCCGGGCCGAGGACCGTGCCAACGTGCTGCGGGCGCTGCTGCTCAAGCACAGGTGGGCACGGGGGGCACGAACACAGTCCCTTTTCCCTGGGCTCTGCTCCCTGAGCTGTGGGGCTGATGCTGTTCCTGGGATCCTGGCAACGGCTGTGCCATTGGGCCACCACGGACAGCCCTGGCCCTGTCCCGCAGCCACCCGAGCGACGAGAAGGAGTTCTCCTTCCCGCGGAACATCTCAGCGGGCAGCCTGGGCTCCCTGCTCGTGCACCACCACAGCACCAACCACGTGGCTGAGGGCAGCGAGCCAGCCGTCACCGAGCCCCTCATAGCCGGCCACACCGGCGAGCACGACACGCGTGTCGACGTGGAGCGGGAGGTGGGTGCCACGGCCCCCCCCTGCCCACACCCTGGGGAAGGGCCCTGACCCCAGTCCCCCGCTCTGTCCCCGCAGAGGGAGGTCCTCACACCCACGCCCCCAGCTGGCATCACTCGCTCCAAGTCAAAGCACGAGCTGAAGCTGCTGGAGAAGATCCCAGATAACGCTGAGGCCACGGTGGTGCTCGTGGGTATGGAGGGGTGGGCAGGCCAGGGGTGTGGGGACCGCTTAGCGGGCACCCTGGTGACCCCTGTGCCCCTCGTGCCCCCCAGGCTGTGTGGAGTTCCTGGACCAGCCCACCATGGCCTTTGTGCGGCTGCAGGAGGCCGTGGAGCTGGACGCGGTGCTGGAGGTGCCTGTGCCTGTGCGATTCCTCTTCGTGCTGCTGGGCCCCAGCAGCACCCACATGGACTATCACGAGATTGGGCGCTCCATCTCCACCCTCATGTCCGACAAGGTCCGTGCCCCAGGGCACTGGGGCCCTGCCGGGGCAGGGGGCTCAGGCTGTGCCAGGCTGGGGGGTTTGGGGCTGTACCAGGATGGGGGTTCAGGGCCCTGCTGGGACAGGGACCTGAGGCTGTGCTGGGCGGGGAGCTCAGGGTTGTGCCAGGGCTGGGGGTTCAGGATCATGCTGGGACTATGGTCTTGAGACACCACTGGTTGGGGGTTTGGGGCTGTGATTGGGGCTGAGCTCAGGACTCAGACGGGATGGGCTGGAGGGCTCAGATTACGCCAATGCTGGGGTCTCAGAGAAATGCCAGGATGAGGGCTTGGAGTTCTCTTGGGGCTGGGGAGCTTGGGGCCATGCCCGGATGCCAGTTGGGTCTCATGGCCATACCAGGGTGGGGGGCCAGGGCCCTCCTGAGGCCACGGGCTTGGGGCTGATACCGAGCTCTCAGGACGCCCCAGAGCTGCGGTGTGAGCACTGACCCTTGCTGTTTCCCCTCAGCAATTCCACGAGGCTGCGTACCTGGCTGACGACCGTCACGACCTTCTGAATGCCATCAATGAGTTCCTGGACTGCAGCGTGGTGCTGCCGCCGTCCGAGGTGCAGGGCGAGGAGCTGCTGCGCAGCGTCGCCCACTTCCAGCGCGAGATGCTGAAGAAAAGGATGGAGCAGGAGCGGAGGCTGCTGCTGGAGCCCAAGTCCCCTGAGGAGAAAGGTGCCAGGGGCAGGGCCGGGGCCAGGGCAGGGTTTGGGGGGGATGTCCCAGCTGTTGGGGTCTCACTGTCTGTCTGTCTGTACATCCACCCACCCCCAGCGCTGCTGAAGCTGAAGGTGGTGGAGGACGAGGCTGAGGAGGACGACGACCCCCTGAGGCGCACGGGCCGCCCCTTTGGGGGGCTGATCCGGGACGTGCGGCGGAGGTACCCCCAGTACCTGAGCGACTTCCGAGATGCGCTGGACCCCCAGTGCATTGCTGCCGTCATCTTCATCTACTTTGCTGCTCTGTCGCCTGCCATCACCTTCGGGGGGCTGCTGGGTGAGTGGGGGGCTGCAGGCGGCGCTGGGCACTGCCCGGTGTGTGCGCTGCGGGGCACGGCCGTGACGCCAGGACCCAAGGGCCCATCCTGATGGTGTGCCTGAGCCTGTCCTGCTGCAGGGGAGAAGACACAGGACCTGATCGGGGTGTCGGAGCTGATCATCTCCACGTCGCTGCAGGGCGTCCTCTTCTGCCTGCTGGGTGCTCAGCCCCTGCTCGTCATCGGCTTCTCGGGGCCCCTGCTCGTCTTTGAGGAAGCCTTCTTCACGGTGAGGGTCTGCTCTGGGGGCTGGGGGGGACACCCCACTGCCCAGGGCACACATCCCCACAGCCCTTCTGCCAGGGCTCTGCTCCACGGCCCAGGGCTGTGTCCAGCCCTGCCACCATCCTGACACCCGTCTGTCCATCCATCCGTCTGCACGGCTGGTCAGTTCTGCACATCCAATGAGCTGGAGTACCTGGTGGGGCGTGTCTGGATTGGATTTTGGCTCATCCTCATCGTGCTGGTCATGGTGGCTTTTGAGGGCAGCTTCCTGGTTCGTTTCGTCTCTCGCTTCACCCAGGAGATCTTTGCCTTCCTCATCTCCCTCATCTTCATCTATGAGACCTTTTCCAAGCTGGCCAAGGTGAGCCATGGCAGATGAGCTGGGGGGGCTGCGGCAGGGCCAGGCAGGACGGGGCTCAACATCCCATCCTCCTGCTCCAGATCTTCCAAGAGCACCCCCTGCACGGCTGCCTGAGCGCCAACAGCTCGGCCGAGGCCTGGGGCAACGGCAGCGTGCCCGTAGCCAACAGCACAGCGCTGGCCACCAGCCCAACTGTCCGCGGTGCCACCAAGGTCACGGGGCAGCCCAACACAGCGCTGCTCTCGCTTGTGCTCATGGCCGGCACCTTCTTCATCGCCTTCTTCCTGCGCAAGTTCAAGAACAGCCGCTTCTTCCCCGGACGGGTGCGTGGGGACGGCCATGGGGCTGGCATGAGCCTGGGGGCCACGGGGCTGGGATGAGCCCAGGGGCCTGGGGTGGGCCTGGAGGGCTGTGGCCAGGCTGGCACTGGTGTTCCCCCAGATCCGGAGACTCATCGGGGACTTTGGGGTGCCTATCGCCATCCTGGTGATGGTGCTGGTGGACTACAGCATCCAGGACACCTACACGCAGGTGAGCAGCCACCCATCCACTGCCTGGGCAGGATGGGGCCTAACCCCACACACTCCTCAGGATCCCTGTGCCCCATCCCACTGTCCTGGCTGCGGGTCAGCAGCTCCATCTGTCCCCAGCATGGCTGCACCTGCTCGGTCACCTCTGGCTCCCAGCATCTGACCTTCCCTCTCCCTCTGAGTCTGGCTTCTGTGGGTCCCAGTGCCTCCATGACCCCCTTCACTCTATGGGCCACAGCCAATGCCCTCTCAGTGTTTGTCTCCCCTACTCCCTGCAGAAGCTGAGTGTGCCCAGTGGGTTCTCAGTGACAGCCCCAGACAAGCGGGGTTGGGTGATCAACCCCCTGGGTGTGCAGAGTGCCTTCCCTGTGTGGATGATGGTGGCCAGCGGCCTCCCCGCCATCCTCGTTTTCATCCTCATCTTCATGGAGACCCAGATCACCACGTGAGTCCAGTGGGGCCGGGCAGGGGGCATTGCTGGGGCAAGGGGGAGCCTGTGCCGTGCCAACCATCTGCCCTCACGCCCAGGCTGATCATCAGCAAGAAGGAGCGGATGCTGCAGAAGGGCTCTGGGTTCCATCTCGACCTCCTGCTCATCGTGGCCATGGGCGGCTTCTTCGCGCTCTTTGGGTTGCCCTGGCTCGCCGCAGCCACCGTGCGCTCGGTCACCCACGCTAACGCCCTCACCGTCATGAGCAAGGCCGTGGCACCTGGGGACAAGCCCAAGATCCAGGAGGTGAAGGAGCAGCGGGTCACCGGGCTGCTGGTGGCTGTGCTTGTCGGTAGGTCTGGCCCTTGGGACCTTGGGGGACTGCGGTGCAGTGGGGAGCGGGGCCAGGGAGCCATGGGGGATGCAGTGGAGAGGGGCCAGCGTGGGGAATGGAGCTGGGGCACCCTGAGCCTTGGCCAAATTGGTGTGGCCATCCTGGCCCCAGTTGACACAGGGATGGAACCCTCCCCATGTGAGGGGGAAGTGGGGCTGGGGGGGGCTGTGCTGAGCCCCCTCCCCAGGCTGACACTGCTCTGGCCCAGGGCTGTCCATCGTCATCGGGGACCTGCTGCGGCAGATCCCCCTGGCCGTGCTCTTCGGCATCTTCCTCTACATGGGCGTCACCTCCCTCAATGGCATCCAGTTC